TCTGGGTACATACAAAAATTATTTAAAATGCCATGAAGACAAATTTATCTCAACGCTTAAAATTATCTGTATGAGGTTATATATATGCCTAACCAACCTCTGTCAATGCAGAAGTCTTGAATAACGAGATAATATATAGGGAAATTATTTCTTAAAAATATATAAAAAAGTTTAAAAACATAAAATCAAAAGGAAGGTTATATGTAATTAATGGAAGAAGTATTGTACTGTCATATAGATTCATGTCATTGAAGGTGTAATTTTAACAGTTAATTTGCAAAATATGGGTACATACAAAAATTATTTAAAATGCCATCCAGACAAGTTTATATCAACGCTTGAAATTATCTGTATGATGTTACATATGCCTAATTGCCCTCTGTCAATGCCGCAACTGAAATCATCCATAATAAGCGCGAGGCATTTTTGTTGCGTTACTTCTATTATTGATCGTAAATTTGTTCGTATTTTTTAGGAGCTTGTGTCACATAAACACGAGTTTCTATTTCGAGTGTCTAGGAATTATGAACACATTTTCAAATAGTGATAATAATATTTGAAAACATTGTGTAGTTGAACAACGGTAAATTAGAGAATGGAACCCGTTTCTTGAAATTATTGAAATTGGTGGAAACATAGCTGAAAATTATAATATAAGATATTCATTTAGAGTAGATTAGGAAAACCTACCTCTGTCCGAAAATTTATATTTTAACTTATCTTCTATATATATCCTCACGAGTGCAAATTTATTATGAGGTAAAAACAGAATCTTTTCCACGTTTTGCTTCTGAATTTTTGTGTGGCAACCACAATAAAGGTGGGACCATATTAGGTACTACATCCATCATTCCAACTACGAGATTACGAGTAACTAGATATATAGTGTGGAACAACAGGTTCATGTACACTAATAACAAATGACGATGAGTTGGGAAAGTGACATAGTATCAAAATATTAAAAAAGTAATCGTGACATCCTTATCTCATCACATTTAGGCTAATAATAAATATCTCTTTGGTTACAAATAAAATGAACAAAAAATAACTCAACTCTTCATAAATAATTTACAACAAAAAATTTCTATTTCTTGACAGATTAATAAACAAAATTAACTGTAATCTTCTATATTATGACTGTTATATCTCCGAAAGGGTAGCGGTTCGATCTCCCTACTAGTTAATCGTGAGGTCAGTTGAATCAGTCCTATTGTAGAAATAGAACTCTGCTAACTATTATTGCTTATTATTTTAATCTTATAAATATTTAATATTTTTCCGTTCTTCCTCATAAAAAGTTAGATAATTTTGATCCTATTTATCTTCCTTTATCTACTTAATCAATAGATAAAAAGTAAATCTAATTTAAAGTGCATTACGAGTTAATATATAGATTGAAGAAACCATCCGCATATTTTGGACCATGTTAGGCGTGTTTATTGCGCACTTTAGGTTAATAACCCACATATATTCTAGTTCCACAACCATTATGCTGCTTAATGCGCACAATCGAAGTATGTGTGTCAGGCAATGACTAATGTCTCCAGAGGACCTTTCCAAATGGCAACCTTATGATCACAAAATTATAATAGTGAGTGAACGTATTTGTGGACTTACATGGGCTACCTACAGTATATGTAAAATTGACACCTTTTCATCATATATAATTTAAACTTGGATAACATTAATAATTTAAACGCAATTTATACATGAATCTATATAACAGTACAATACTTTCTTATTAAATTTTGTGAGGTCGTAAGACAGCTGCTGAATTAGGCCTTCCTTAGCACCACTGTACAGAACCATATCAATGGAAATAACAAGGGATATATTAACAAAATCTGGGGAAGAAGTAGTTAAAAGCCTGTGCATTAAGAAATTCTGATTAAATGCAACATTCCATGACATCAAAAAGGCTATCCGCTTTCTAGATTATCTTCTAAAAAATGTTGCAAGAAGAGATTATTGTCAGTCGTGGGAGGTTGATAAGCGCATGGAAATCGAAGTAAAGGACCATCAGAAAGATAGGTGACACGGCTTTCTGAAAAACCACCGTGAGCTTAGGGTAAGAGTTGCTCATCCTCTTGAACATGCCTAAGGCCAATTATTACTCAAAGATGCTAGTTGATTCGAATTACTTTAACTTATTAGAGAAGTGTCTCGAAGAAGGGCATCTAAATGTCAAGAACCTGCACGCCATTTTATAATTGTTCAGGATTTTCTGGTAAAGCTTGAATCCTTCAAGAATAAAGTTATAGTACCAAAAGGAATGAGGCATTTATCAGTCCTTATGTAATGTTATCAGGGCATGGTAACATTAATAAATGCAGATTTCTGCCAGTGGACAAACAACCCCTCCTATGCTAATATTCCGCTTAGTGTCTTCCAAGAGAATGCAATGATGGCTTACCAGATTCTTGACAGCTAAGGTCTACTGAAAAGGGATTTGTTACATATTTCATTTGCTAACCCAGATAACTCCACAAATTGAACAAAGCTTAATAATGAGACGGATTAGATATCTAACAGTTTAAAAAATCTGGATCATCGTAAGTCATTAAGTATAGGAGTTATGTCATTCAGGAGTTTTTAAGTAAAAATTTGGATCTACAAAACTGGGTAGAAACTGGCAATGAAGGAATCTTTAGAATGCTAATTTGTCATGACGTTTATAAAGATATATTTCAAAATTCATAGGGATTCTATTCAGCTTAAAAGTAAGTGCAATTTCTAGATCTACTCCATGTGACTCGATGGTCTTGTTCCTTATCATTCATTTTTTAAAGTTTTCTTTCATGCATTGCAACGAAACTGTTACATCTTGTAGATCCAGCTTAGTAAAGTAATCATGAAACGATCCCGAGAACCTCATGTATATTTTAGAAACATGACACGTGCTTTCTCCCGTTCATCATCAAATGAAGAATACTACGACAATGGCTACGGAAAATAAACAACAGAAATTTACCATATAGAAATCACAATTTGATTCCACAAGAAAAGTAGACATTTTAGAGAAAAATCCTGAAAAACCTCGACGGTGACTTTTTTCTAGTTTACATAGTGAAAATCAATGACCCCCGGCGCGGTGCCAATTCTGACCTCAGGGCTTGAGTTTGAACAATCTTGGTAGAGGTTTACTTTGCAAAGTCTCATGCCAAATATTTAACCTCTAGCCTTTGTCAATTCAGAGAAGAAGACTTTATACATATAAAGAACTGTCGCCTTTTGGGCAGGGCAATTTTAACACTAGGGGCATAATTAAAACAACTTAAGTAGAGGACTCATAGATGATAATATATACCAAATATCAAAGCTCTAAGCCTTGTGCCTTCAGACAAGAAGATTTTATAATTTTTTACTATATGTACATAGTGAAAATCAATGACTCCCGGAGGTGGGGGTCAGTTTTGACCCCAGGGCAATAATTTGTACAATCTTGCTTCAGGTTTACTACACAAGGTATCATGCAAAATATCTAACCTCTAGTCTTTGTCAATTTAGAGAAGAAGTTGTTTTAAGTTTTACAATATACATATAAGGAAAACCTATGACACCCGGGGCGGGGCTTATTTTAACACTAGAGGCAAAATTTGAACATCTTTGGGTAGAGTACCTATAGATGATATCATATAAGAAATATTAAAGCTCTAAGCCTTGTATCTTCAGACAATAAGATTTTTTTATTTTTTACTATATGTACAAAGTGAAAATCAATGACCCCAGGGCAACTGATCCAAGGGCTATAATTTGAACAATCTTGCTAGCGGTTCACTACACAATGTTTCATGCAAAATAGCTAACCTCTAGCGTTTGTCAATTTCGAGGAGTTTTTTTTTTTTTAAAGTTTTGACTATATACATATAAGGAAAACCTATGACCCTCGGGGCGGGGCTGATTTTGGCACCAGAGGCAAAATTTGAACAACTTTGGAAGAGTAGCTAAAGATGATATCACATACCAAATATCAAACCTCTAAGCCTTGTACCTTAAGTTAAGAAGGTATTTTAAGTTTTACTATATGTACATATAGTGAAAATTAATGACTCCCGGGGTGGGGCCAATTTTGACCCCAGAGCTATAATATGACCAATCTTGGTAGAGGTCTACCGGACAATGCTTTATGCAAAATATCTAAGCGTTAGGTTATTTGGATCTGTACAAAAAGATTTTTTTAATTTATTCATATAATTCCTTTTTGTTGCCATGGCAACCAGATTTCTGCATGGAATGAAATTTTTTGAACAACTTTGGAAGCCATTTACCCAAGAATCAATCCTGCCAAGTTTGGTTTAAATTGGACTAATGGTTTTTCACAAGAAGATTTTTTAAGTTCATTTTATAATCATTAAAACTCACATACAAACATACATACATACATACATACATACATACATACATACATACATACATACATACATACATACATACATACATACATACATACATACATACATACATACATACATACATACATAACATAACATAACATAACATAACATACATACATACATACATACATACATACATACATACATACATACATACATACATACATACATACATACATACATACATACATACATACATACATACATACATACATACATACATACATACATACATACATACATACATAAATACATACATACATACATACATACATACATACATACATACATACATACATACATACATACATACATACATACATACATACATACATACATACATACATACATACATACATACATACATACATACATACATACATACATACATACATACATACATACATACAAACATACATACATACATACATACATACATACATACATACATACATACATACATACATACATACATACATACATACATACATACATACATACATACATACATACATACATACATACATACATACATACATGCTGCGGTGGCATAAAAACCAAAGGATCAAAAGGATCAAAAGTAGAGACACAAGATACACTTGACAGAAATATGCAAAAGCACTATCTTTAGAACTATGGACATTAACAAAGAAAGTCAAAAGTGATTTTGTGGAACCAGCTGAAACTAAAGATGATAGTAAATTGGATAGTACAGAAGATCAAGAGCAATTAAGAAGAGTTGAAAGAATAGCTATATATAAAGAAAAAGAGGAAAACACTATTACAAATCTCCGAGAAAGGACTGCAAAAGGAGAAAGCTCAGAGTTGCCATCTTTATTCCTATCTAGCAAACCTGAGCAAGAAGATGCTTCTATATTTATATCTAAAAGTTTTAAAGTTGAATCATCTCATAATAAACAAGAAAGCTCAATATCTAGGTCTAGAAGTATGAAACAAGATGCTAGTTACTCTGAAAGATCAAGTCCTGCCTTAGGTGAGCCACATAAAATGCCTTGACCTAAATTAGCAGAACTAGATACACAAAGAAAACCATTAGAAGTAAATAAAGGAACAAGACATATATGAATCTAGCGGACAGAAATATAGTACTGATAATATCATTGACAAATTGCAAGCAATCTATGAAGAAACTTAAAGATGATCATGCTAAAAGGTCAGGTGCAGTTCAAGATAAAAGGGAAAAATTTAAATAAAAAATACTCTAAAAAATTTCAAAAAATGTTTTGAAAATTGGTTTTGGGGAAAGCTGAAAATTTTATAAAAACCCCAAAAGAAATTTTCAAAGTTGTTTGGCCCTTCTTAAAAAATCTTCTCGAAAAAGTTTCAATAAAACCAAAGTGTGTGAAAAAAAAAGGGGCCCCAGTTCTATTTAAAAAAAGAAACAAGTGAAAAAAAACTGTTTATGGCATTTAAAAGGGAACATTCCCAAAAAGGAAAAACAGAAAAAAAAAATTTAAATTTTGGGGCTTTTGGGAAAACTTTGTTTAAAATAAAAAAAGAAAAAAAATTTCCTGAAAAAAAAAAGAGAGGAAAAAAAAAAAATTTTAAAAGATAAAAAAGGGAAAGTTAAAATAAAAATCGATTCAGAAAGAGATAATGCTGAAACTTCGGGCAAAAATTTCCCAAAAGGAATTTAAAACCTTTCTGTAAAAAAATTTTGAAAGGTACAGGTTCCACTGTGACAGATACAGAAAAAGTTAAAAAATTTAAGGGGTAAAAGGAAACATTTTTAAAAAAACGAAAGGGGGGGGGTTAAAAAACATAAAGAAGTATAAAATAAAAGGGGTGAAAGGGAAAAGATTTAAACCTCTAATGACTGCTGAAAAAACAAAAGTAAAGAAAAAAAAGTTGCTGAAAATATTGAAAAAGAAGAAAATAAGTTTTTTGAAAGATTTTAAAAAATATGAAAATGCATTTTGATGCTTCTTTGATTTGAAAAAATTGTACAGTAAAAAAAGTAAAAATTTAAAAAAACAAATCCCCGAAAAAAATGTTTTAAATAAAAAAATAAAAGTTTGAAGAAAGCTCAATAAAAAACTCTTCCCGAAAAGATCTAGGGAGATTTTTAAATTTCGGGTGTCATCAAAAACCCTTTTTAAAGTTCAGAAAAAAAACCTAAAAAAATAAAAAGTTTTGGAAAAAAAGGGCACTTGGGATTATTTAAAATCAGCCCCAAAAAAAAAAAAAAAAGCGAAAAAGTTTTCGTAAAAAAAAAAAAACAAATTTAAATTTAAAAAAAAGATGAGCAAATTAGATAAAAAAATGTTACAGAGGGAAAAAACAAAAAACGTTTTAAGATGACAAAATCTTAAAAAAACCTCCCTTTCCCGCCCCGAAAATGAAAGAAAGAAAAAAGCTAAAAGAGAGTTTTTGGGAAGGCCTTGAAAAAAAAAAAGGTTTTGACTTTGGGAAAGTTATGTTAAAAAAAAGAAATGGTTCCAAAGCAGGAGGGTAAAACAAAAAGGGCAATTTAAATATTGAAAATTAAATTTAAAAAAAAAAGAAGAATCAAATAAGAAAGCAAAAACCAAAATTTCATCTGGAAGTGTTAGAAATTTAAAAAAAAATCTTCAAAACCTTTTCCAGAAATGAAAAAACCCGAAAATTAAAAGCAAAAACAAAACTCCGATAGTGAAAATCAAAAAAACCAAAAAATCCCTTAAAAAAAGAGACCGACATAAAAAACACAAATAAAAAAAAATTCTGTTCCCAACAAAAACAAACCAAAAAAGAAGGTAAAACATCATTGGGAAACTTTAAAATCAAAAAATAAAACCCTTAAAACAAAAAACGTATCAACAGCTACTTTGAAAAAAAAACCAGAGGGGCCATCTTTCGCCTTTGAGGTGGGTTTTTAAACCCTTTAAGAAACTATTGCGGAGCTCCTTAAAACCAAAAATAGGGATTTTTTAAAAATGGGGGTGGCAAAATCACATTGGCTTCCCAAATGTAATATTTTACTTTCCCGAAAATTTTTTAAAAAAATTAAAATTAAAAAACAATTTTAGCCGGTCCCCAAATACGTGAAACATTTTTATAAATAAAAAAATTTAGGGGAAAAACTTTGGGCTAAAAAATTAGATTATCAAACATTTATTAAAAAAAAAAAAGGTAAAAAATAAAAAGATATTTATAGAATGAAAAACCCAAAATGTTTATTTGCAACAAAATTTTGGCAAAAAAAATATGAATAAACAAATTTTGTATTAATTTCCCCTTGTAGGATTCCCCTTAAAATTTATTTTTTCAGTTTTATATCCAACTACCGTTTTATTTTGAAAAAAAACAAAACCCAGGGAGGTTTTTAAAATTTTAGAATAATTTGGGGTGAATACAGAAAAGGGAAATCAATGTTAACAAAAAATAGTAAATTTAAAAATTTGCCAAAAATGCATTTTAAAAAAAAATTTGATTCAAAATTTAATGCCAAAAAATAAAAAAATAAAAAGAAACAAAAACCCCATTGGGGAAAAGGTTAAAATTATATTAGGATTTGGGATATAAATTTTTTAAAAAAAAGGTTGTTATTTTCCCCCCCGGGTTTTTAGAAAAAAAGTCTCCGTCCGTCCGTTTTCCCTTTCGTCCAACATTTTGTCCCCGGGGCATATTTTCAAAAAGTATTTGAGGTTTTGAAAATTGAAAAAACTTTAAAAGGTGGGAAAGGAAAAACCTTGAGGGGGGCGTTTCAGTGCATAAAAAAAAGGAAAAACTCTACCCTACATAATTTTTTAAATTTTAATTTCCCTTATTAAATTTTTTAAAAAAAATTTTTTGTCCAGAAGGGAAAAACTCAAAAGCCTTTGGGATAAACAATATGAAAATTCAAAAGGTGGGATAGATCTCACTCAGGAAAAGGGGTTTCAAATGAAAACAAAAAAAAATTTAAAAACGTAACCCCTTTAAAAAAATTTTTTGGGGGTTATTGGGGCCCCTTTTTTTTTTTTCATACTTAAAAAATTTTTACCTGGGTGGAGGGGTTTTGAGAAAATTTAAAAATGAAAATGTCAAAAGGTGGAAAAAGATTCTTATTGAAAAAGGAAAAAAGCTGTGCCGCAAGAAAAAGAAAACTCTTCCCTATTTTTAATTTTTTTGGACTATTCCCCTTGTTCTTTTTCATAAATTTTGTTGGGGAAACTTATTTTCAAAAAAATAAAAATTTTAAAAAAAATCAAAATTTTAAACTTTTATAGGTTTGGGTAAAATTTTTAATTTAGGAGGGTGCAGCACAAAAAAAGAATGATAACCTCCCCTGCATTTTTTTTTAGTTTGCTCTTTGTTTTTTTAGCATCATATTACATAGGTTTAAAAATCTTTATCACTTCACCCATCAGTTTTTTTACAAAATCCCTATTAATATTGAATTATTCTGCTCTAACATATTTTTTTCCAATGGGGCAAAACATTCGAGGGGGGGATGGTCATGTTGACATGCTCTTTTTGTATTACAATTCCCCCTTAATTTTTTTATTTATTATATGCTTAAAATTTTTCATATTTCACATCCTTTTTTTAAAATATTGTTAAAATGGCCGTATAGTTTTAATTAAAATTTAAATATTAAATCTTTCTTTTGTAATAATGCACTTTTTTGAAATAAGCCGTCATCCTTGTGTGATGGTTTTTTGATTGGAAAATAAAGCTACCTTTAAAAGGAGGGGGCTTTCCTTTGGATACATGCTCTGTAAAAAAATGCAAACGGTACGGCCCAAACCCCGGTGGGGGAATTTAACCCCAGCCCGTTTAGTCTAGAAAGTAGTTTTTTTAAAAAATTTTAAAAGTGGCCCAATTTAAGTCATCCTTTTAAATTTTGTCATAAAAAAAGTTATTTATTGCATGTGTTTTTTTTGGGGTTTTTTATATATGATTTTAAAAAGTTGTTTTTTTTTTTTATTCTCGGAACTCATTTTTTTGGGCAAAAGGATAAAGTTTGTACCACCCACCGCTCGGAAATTTTTTTAAAAGTGGTAAATTTAAAACTGTTTACAAAACAGAAATGAAATTTCTAAAAAAAAGGGGATGGGAAACCATTACTTTTTTGGGCCTCTTTTGATCAGATAGTGTTGATTTTTAAAGTTGAAAGACGATAAAAATCATAAGAACAGGGAAAAGTTAAAAAAAATTAAGCCCAATGTGATGATTTACTATAGAAAAAAATAAAAAAATTCAAAGGCCGACCCCCTTTTACTTGAAATTATTCAACACCAATAAGCTCCTCAAACGGGGGTGGGCAAAAAAAATTTTTTTGAATAATATTTTTATATTTTGGTCTTTTTTCACCTTTAGACTTAGAGAGCCTCACCCTGCAAAGAAACCGTTTCTTTCGTAAAGTTCGCTTTTATATTTTTAAATACTGCTTTTATGTTTAAAGATTATGATTAAATTAAAAAATAAATTTTAGAATTTAAAAAATGGTTTTTTGCTTTTTTATGCAAAATTTCATTAAAATTTCTATTTGTTTTTTAATTAATTTTTTAATGTTAATCAGTTTTATATTTTTTTTATTCCCTTTGAAATTTTTTCCCCCCAAATATTGAAATGTTTTAAGGGT